TATATATATATATATATATATATATATATATATATATATATATGTATGTATACATAAAAATAAAAAAAAGTACAGCTGTAAGCCTCAGGAACGGCGTATTCGTCTCATCCTTTGTTCGAGATAATACAGCAAATAGCCATTAAGTAGAGTACTATAAGTAATTCAACAGATCTCACGTGGCCGTGATCGTAGTAATATCTAGACGTGTGCGGGTAGGTGTATAGTTTTGCAGTGTTGGTGGATGTAGATGTGGGTGGAAGCCAACGAGCAATGAAGAATCAGTACACCTATATGTATATAGCAGTCTTGTGTATATACGTATATAATATATACAAGACTCGACAATTTTTCACTAAACAACTCGTCCGCCCGCCACAGTCTGGCCAAACTTATGAGCGCCTACTCTGTACATACAGTATTAAGTCTATGTACCTACTACCGTGGTGTGGTGTACCAATGTGACACATTATGTGTGTGTGTGTGTGTGAGTACCTGTTACATGTGATATTATATTTTTGCCACCTCTATCTTTTACTTATACTATATGTTTCGTCGTAGCTGCAGATGTCGTTTTGAACACACACACACACACACACATACATATATACATATTTACGCGTACATGGTAGTAACTATACGTACTAACAGTGAAAGGGAGGAGGGAGAAAGAAAAATTGTTTATCAGTCAAGGCCGCGTCGCGATCACGCGTTGGCGGCTCGTTCACCTCGACTTCTGCAGAGCAGCCTCGAGCGAGCCTACTTACTTACCTCCTGTGCCTATATTATTTCCCTTTGACCGCGGCTGCTTATCAAATATACTGCATCTCTCGTCTATTACCCCTCCTATACTTTCCTCTCTATCTGTCTCCTTGCTGCTTTCCCGCTGTGCAAGAGACGTTTCAGAATGCATCCCTATGTATAAAGAAGGTATTTTTCAAACTATTTTTATTTGTTGTTGGCTCTCTCTCTCTCTCTTCCGGTATCGACCGATAATTAATTCGGCGCATACTGTGTACTTTAATATTCGCGCTAATGAAATTTGAATATCTTATGTGCGTTGGCGTAGGAGTTGGTATTTGTACGTGTATATACCTATTATAGTATGTACTGTGCTCACTGTTTGCACGTAGCCTGCCCCGCGATACCTACCAATCATCCTCGAAAAGTTTGTAAAGCAACCTAGGTATATATATATATATATACACATATTATATACCCATAAGTGCAAAATTGACATTTCGCGAATGGAAATTTCGGGACGAAGGCGTAATATGGATATTGATATTTTTGTTTTGCAAACTTGATAATTGCCAATTATTACTTAACCGTGCCCAGTGTAAGTTCAATTAAAAGACCTACGTGATGTTTGTGTGTGTGTGTGTGTGTGTGTGTGTGTATAACATGAAATACGCATATACATATAGCCATAGGTACAGTGGAGGCCGTTTAATTCGTTGAGCGGCAAGTATAAAATTGACCAATGAAAGAGGTTTCGTGATCGAATCAGCCAATAGGAATTAAATGTTTGAATTTCCCGCTCAACGAATTAAACGGCCTCCACTCAACTCGACTGTACGTAAGTATACGTACATTACAGTCCCTATACCTAAAGTTTTCGAAAAATCGGCATTGAAAGTTTATAGATGCTAAACAGACGATAAAATAAAGTAGGAACGCACGCGTCAGCGCCGTAGAGGAAAAAAAGGAAGAAAAATCAGGCATTAGGAAA